AAAGAAAGAAAAGAAAAAAAAATAGAAATATCAGGCTGAGGAGTTGGCTCAGTCATAAAAGGGTTTGTGTTGCAAATACAAGGATCTGAGTTTGAGCCTCAGACCTCAATGTTAATAAACAATAATAATGATAATACAAATAATAAAAACAGGTATGGTGGTGCATCTTGTGTTCCCAGCACTGAGGAGGTTGGAGATTTGGACCCCTAAAGTTTACTAGCCAGCCAATCTAGCCTCCTGGCCAGTGAGAGATCCTATCTCAAAGAAAAAAGGGGGAGGGGCATCCTGTAGTCCCTCTTTTCACACATATAACACACACACACACTAGAAATATCTGCAAAAACTTTATTATTCATCAAGTAGTCTGTGGTTCAATTGAGATATAAACTAAAACATACATTGTAGTTGCTTAGCATGTGACCTAGTAGAGAGCTTGTAAACACCACCAAGAACTGTTAAAATGAAAGTGCTACACAGGAAGAAGCCATTGCAGTAGGTTATGGAATGGCCATTGGAAAAGACGACACAGCATCTGGATTGCTCTGTTCTCAGGATGCTGCTGAACACACATCTGCACAGCAGCAGAAACCAAAGACCAGGCTAGCTCACATTTGATAGGTGAGTTAGAGCTATGAATATTACACACTATAATAAATAACAAATAACCTACAAGTTAGAGTGAGCAAACACTACTATCTCCTTCGTTGAGGCAGAATCCTGCTATTTAACCCAGGTAGGCCAGCCTCAGCCTCCCAAGTGATAGGATTCCAAGTGTAAGCCACCATACCCAGTTGGAATGTTGCTGGTTTTTTGTTTGTTTGTTTGTTTGTTTTTGAGACATGGTCTCACTTTGTAGCCTTGGCTAGCATGAAACTCACTCGTAGACCAGGCTGGCCTTAAACTCACGGAGGTCCACCTGCCTCTGCCTCCCAATGCTGGGACGAAAGGCGTGCGCCACCATACCCTGCTCTGTTGCTGTTCTTTAGATCGTCAGAGAAGAGCCTGTGAGATGACTCAGTGGGTGAAGGCTTTGCTGCAGGCCCGACCAGACCTCTGTGAAGGTGTTAGAACCAACTCTGTCACAGTTTCCTGTCACCACCACATGTGTGCTGAGATCCATGTGCGCCCCCTGCTTACATCGTACACAGAATAATAATAAATAGAAAAGAAACACATCATTGAAGACAACAGGAAGCGGCAGGGAGTGTTGCCTGAGTGGGTGAAAGATGAGGGCGTGACCTTGACAATCACCCAAGAAACAGAACAAAAGTCTGCTCTTACAAACTGAAATGTGTAAAAGGCACTTTTTAAATATTCGATTTACATATTTTCCTTTTAACATGTATATTTGGGCGACCCAGCCATCTCTTAGAACAGCAGGTCTAAGTTCAAAGTTGTCTAAGGTAAATACAGAAAGCCCCCTTTTCTCCTAGAAATTGACTGTTCTGCGGCCTGCAGCACCCAGAGTTCAGATGTAAACCTGGGTTTGTGGCTAGGCTTCAATTCCCCAGAGGTTTGTCCCTAGGCCTTCCCAGAGTATTTAACTTGGGATACTTAAGGATATCACTCTAACATTGTTGCCCCTAGAAAATACACTGTAGCTTCAAGTCAGAACCAGGGGCAACTGTCTAGGCTTACAAACATCACAGGCAGCAGCTAGAAGGGCTTTGGCAGTGTTAAATCTGGGCAGTTTTGAGTTTGGTCACTTTTTATTTCCACAAAAACGTGCCCCCCTTTGGTCAGAACTGCCCAGGATGCTCTAAGATGCTCTAAGAACAACTACCCCAACCCTGGGATGGAGACAGGGCATTTTTCTTGCATACCTTCTGGCAAGTTCTAAATGAGATGTGAACAATTACTTATCAAGATGAAAAGTCAGTCACTACTGAGGTTTTGGTACCTCATTAGATACAAATACCATGATTTCTTTTTGGATTTGAACTAATCAAATGAACAGAAATAGTTCTTACTTTTACATGATCCCCGCTTTACTACCCAGTCATGCAGTCCATACAACATACACTCCCATCAAATGTATGTTCTTATTTCAGTAACAAAATACACACATACACTCTCTAACATATTGGTGATAACAGCTCATCATCAGCTTCTGGGCTGTCCATCTGGAGTCAGCTCATACCTGTAAGACAGTCGGGTTTGGACTTGTGTTAGGAATGAGAATGTGCGGCTGCAATAAGACAAGCAGCATGGTCTCTATGGAGACAGCAGAACCAACTGTCTGGGAACTGCTGGTCAGGATTAATTCTGCAGTTACAGAGGGCTGCAGGCAGACCTGTACAGTCTGTAACACCCGAGGAAAGGTATCACTCTCTCCTTCTATTGGAACCCAGAGCATCTGAAACAATCCTGAAAGGGAGAGAAGTCTGGAGACCAGGACAGCTGCCTGAGATCGCATCCTCCATAGTTCATGGTGATAATGAAAAGGCACACTTACCACTGTGAAAAGCCCTTAATCAGATCTTCTTTTGATAAGTCGATCAGCACCTAAACAATCACAAATATTAGCACCATGTTAAATGGGAACACTCGGGTAAACTGGGCTGAGTGTGAAAGGTCTCAGCTTTCAGCTGTTTTTTTTTTTTTAAATGTATCCTTTGAGAAATACACACACACACACACACACACACACACACACACACACACACACAATTATATATAATTGTACCCACACATGCCCCATTTCCCTCCTCTAGCTCCCGCTAGAGCACTGCCATATGTCCACATCCCAACTTCATGTCTTTTTTTTTTTTTTTAATAACGCACTAAATCCAATTAGTGCTGTTCGTATGTGCATAGTGTGGAGCAAAGGCAACCTACCAGTGGCCATGCCCCCAAAGAAGGAGGAGTCCCCCTCCCCGAGCAGCTACTGACTGCCAGAAGCTCCTCAGCTGTGGGTGGAGTTCTCTGAACCCCTGCTCCATCCATCCATCAGGGTATTTTCCTTCATCATGGAACCTTTCCAGAGAGAATGCAAGCACTGGCCTAGTGTTCTAGAAATAACTATTCCTACCCAGCACTAGGCAGGCAGAACTCTGTAAGTTTTGAGGCCAGCCAGGGCTATGTAGTGAGACCCTGTCTTAAAAAAAAGAAAAAAAAAAAAAAAAAAAAAAAGCTGTTCCTGTTTGGGACACAAATTTAAGACATTCAAAGAATATCTTCAAGAATTACAGATATTTTAACTTTCAAGTTTATTTATAAGTATTATAAAAAATGTACCCATAAAAATGAGCATAATACCATCTGCTTCATAGGCAGAAACTGTCAGTTTCATAGAAGTAGGAGTTACAGAGATGAATACAGAAGGCAGTTATTAAAACGTAACTACAGGGGCTGGAGAGATGGCTCAGTGATTAAGCGCTCTGGCTGCTCTTCTAGAGGTCTTGAGTTCAGTTCCCAGCAACCACATGGTGGCTCACAACCATCTATAAGATGAAATGATGTCCTCTTCTGACATACAGGTATACATGCAGAGCACTCATACATAAAATATAAATAAATAATTGAAAAATTTTTTAAAAATGTAACTAGAGTACTGTATGAATACCATGGAGGAGTCTTCTTGGTACATTCCTGGGATTATATTTCCTCCTATTTTAAGTGAAATTCTGTTACCATAGAAACCTTGATCTAATGCAATCCAAGTTTTATTTAGTGATCTATTTATAAAAATAATAGGTAATACCAGAGTAGATGCCACACACTTACAGAATATTGAATTTGGATATTCTCAAGATAGTTAAAATAATGTCTACACATCAGTTTATATTTCTGTGTTAGGTTGGAAGCATGTGAAAACAAAGTCCTTTCAAGGAGGCTATCCCTCCTTATGGCCGGCTCTAGTAGGAGCTGGAATGATTCCATCAGGTGTTAGGACACAAGGAAATGACAGCTACTTACTTTCCCCAACTCCTTTCTTCTGTGTGAGCCAAGAGGCCTACTGTTTTTCACTGCAACATCCAGTGACCTCTTCTGTACTTCTTCCATGGGAACAAAAAATTCAAATCTTTAAAAGCCAAAACATTAAAAATGAGATTTACATGTAGCCACTTTTGTTGAAAACATAGTGTTTCTTCCACTTCCCACTAAAACTAGAGCTGTCAACATTTAAAAGTGACAGAATCAGCACTGGCTCCTATGCTCACGGTAATGCGTCATCTAGATCCTGAAGTGTCGAGACTGCCTGTGAGGAGCCTCTGAGATGGCTGTTTGGAGTGTGTTGCATCCAGACTCTACACCAAGTGCAGTTTTACTGTTCTCCTCATGTGCACCAGCCAGAGGAACGCCTCACCCCGCTCTTCTGACAGCAGAGGGCAGGATGCTTAGGAGGTAGGCTTGCTGGAGTTGCATGGAAAATGACGGTGTCCCTCGGAGGCCTGTGTACCAGCCTTGTCATAAACAGCCTCCTCAGAAAGGCACCTGGAACCTTACTTCTAGGTTTCTGTTTAGGGTGGGGTTTACTCACTCTGCCTTCAGATAACCCTGGCTTTCATCTTGTAATTTTTAGAAAGAATGACTAACAGATTGTCTTCATAGTCAGATGTTCCCTCTGTGTTCTTTGTAGCCATTTCAACATCTTTGTATAATTCTTTCAGAGCTCTTCAAGGCAGTGCCCACTTATAGGGCTATGGATGGTGTGCCGGGCATAGTGTTCAGTGAATGTTGGATGAGCTTTCTTGCAGTCTTTCTTGATGAGGATAGACATAGACCAAAGAGGACTTGGTTTCAGCCTTTCAGAGTAGTTATGATTGTTAAAATAAGAGGAAAACAAGTCATGTTCCAAACCTGACTACAAATGTCTTGTCTTAGGATTGCAGAGGAGGAGACCAAGAATACAATGGTTCAGTGGTTAAGAGCACTTGCTGCTTGTGGTGGTTTGACAGAAAATGGCCCCCAAAGGGAGTGGCACTATTAGGAGGTGTGGCTTTGTTGGAGGAAGTGTGTCATTGTGGGGGTGGGCTTTGAGGTCTCCATGTTCAAGTTACACCCAGTGAGACAGACCACTCCTGTTGCTTGTGGCTCAAGATGTAGGACTCTCAGCTCATTCTCCAGCACTGTGTCTGCCTACATACCACCATGTGGCACCATGATGATAACAGACTAAACCTCTGAAAATGAAAGCCACCTCAATTAAATGTGTTCCTTTATAAGAGTTGCCATGGTCATGGCGTCTCTTCACAGCAGTAGAGACCCTAACTAAGACACTGCTCTTGCATAGGACTGAAGCTCAATTCCCAGCATCCACATCAGGTGGCTCAAGAGCATCTATAACTGCAGTTCCAGAGGGTGCAACACCCTCTGCTGGACTGTGCAGGCACTACTACAGATGTGGAAGACACATAAATAAAAAGAATTTTAAAGCGCTTGCTACCACTGGACTATCATCCAAAGCAAGAATGTGCTGAGAGCCTGCCTATCAGTTTGTCCTTAAAGATGTAGACAAAGAGAAAGGATCTCTTTTGCCTGCCAACTTTGTTATATTTCAGGAGGGAAGACAGGCCAGAGAGCTGAGAGTATGCACCATTCCACCACTGTGAACATCTGAATGTTTATCCTCTTAAGAACAGCAAATGTGAGCAGCTTTGATCACATTTTTTGGATAAACTACCCTAGCAGCCCTTTCTTCCCACTAAAAAGTATATAGGGGCTTCGTGAGGTCAGACCACATTGTCCTGTTCAGCTCAGCCCCCAGGTTTCCCCCACCTCACCCCCGATCTGGCAAGCTCCAGCATACTGCCAGTGTTTGGTGCTCAGTACTAAGAATATAGGTGAGGTTTGCTAAGCCCTGTCCTACTCACGTCTCATCATATAGAGGCTCCAGCGTCTTCCGCTTTACTGAGGTCTTCTTCCGACTTGCCCACCTCCTTTCTGGCAATAGGTAGATTCGAACATAAGGATCAGCTCCACTGCTGGTACAGCGTGTCAGGTTTCTGATATGCAGAGAAAAGGGGCCCCTAAGTACTCATTTGGGAGAAGGCTGTACCAGCCACTGGGGAGTAGATGGGCTAGAGGACTAAAATCCTCTGTACTCAAAAGGCAAAAGCCAACAGAATTGAAGAACAAGATATCAGCTGTGGTTTTGTTTTTTGAACACACACATTTTTGTGCTGTCTGGGATAGAGCCAAGTATTTGTACTCAAGGAAGTTGGGGGTTCCTGCTTAGAAAGACCTACTTGCCATTGGCCACCCCAAGACAATATAGATGCTCTGAGCAAAGCCCTTGACTTTTCAGCCCATCAGTACCAACAAAGAATGGCCATTCCACATACCCCTTTGGGGATTTTTGCCACCAATGGCCTGTAGGTCCTTAAATGACATTTTGGAATACATGGCTCCTGCCATCACCCTAAGCAGCCCTGCCATATGGTCACCTGATACTTCCAAAGGGCCTCCCCAGTCCCAGAATCTCTTTACCTGCACCTGTTGATCAGCACCCTGAGACAGTGTCGAAGACACACATAGCGCACTGTGAGCTGAATCTCACCCAGCTGTCGCTGACTAGGATCCCCATCTCTGTGGGGGGAAAAAAGGCTTGTCACAGTAAGAACTGTCCCTCTCCTTCACCTGAAGATGGAGAAGGATGGTCTATGTGAGGAACACAGACTTGTCTGGGTCAATAATTCTCTTCAAGGTTCCATCCAGTATTCAGTGTAATTGTCCTACTTCACAGCAGAAAGCATAAATAAACCCTGGAATGGACTGGCCCTTATGTCATGATTGCTTGTGGGGCTTGAGGGAATTGGGATTTTATAATGGTTTCTTCTGTCTTGTAGGGTTATAATGAAGACTGAATTAAATCAGATAACATGCTAAGTCCATAGGAAGCACTTAATAAATGGTGGCTACTTATGTAAGTCCACATTTCTAAACTCTTCACGTTATCCCACTGCACTCAGAATTCAGGAAATGTTTCTATGAAAGGAATCCTAACAACTGAAGTCATTATGTAGCCAGAGCTGTAGGCAACAGAAGGGCTCTCGCCCTCATCCTGTGTTCTTCCTATTAGTCCAAGCTGCCTCTTGTAAAGACATGTTGTGAGAAACCTGAACATGCTCAGGTCTGTAAGTTCCTATCTACTCTTCCATCCAAGGACCTACTTTTCATGCAAGTTATATTAGAAAAGATCAAGCAGAGAGATGCATACTCAATGTTGAAGCTGACATCTGTCATGTCAAAGCAGGAAGAGGCCAGGGAGTTGAGTGAGGACATGCTGGGAGCCAGCCTTGTTGGTGGCCATGCGAATGGGAAGGCAGGGCGGCTCATGGGTCTGGGTGACTTGATGGGCCCTGGAGAGTGGGGGCCTGGGACAGTCAGGAAGATGGTAGCTGGGGTCCTCTTCTTCCCCATGGACTCACAGAGTCCTTTGGCACTGTCCTTGCCTTTGGACTCCAGGCCTGTCTCTTGGGGCTCAGGCTCATTGGTTGTGGTGGCAGTACTGGTGGTATCAGGGCTCTTGGAGGCTCCCTTGATGTCAGAGGCGAGGTCCGAGGCACATGTCACATCTGCAAGGCCTTCTCCCTGGGCTGGGGCCTTGGGATCCTGGTGGGTGGCCACCTTCTTGATGAACAGCGGGCCTTTCTTTACAGCATCAGGTCCAGTATATGGGCTTCCCAGTTCTCGCTCCTCCACACGTAAGAACTGGAAGCAGATGACAGGGTTGTTTGTAGGCGGGGCCTACCACCTTCCTCCTTCCCCTTTCTCCTCAGCTGTCAATCAACAAGCCCTTTCTAGGGAATTCTGTTTCCAGAAATGAATATGGGACTGAAATCTCTTCAGTAAAAAAGTAATCTAGAATAAAAATTCCACTGAGCAGCAAAGACCAATTAACAAGAGGTGTCTGTCTCAGCTTGGATTCCAGTTAGAGGGAAAGTCTTCCCCACACTACCATCTATAGGACCATCCTCAAGAGTTTCTAGTTCATATTCAGACTACCTATGGGTTTTAAACCCATTAAATTAACATAACAATGGATTTAGATTTGTAGATGCTGTGGTACTCTGCTGGAGACAAATCTAAACCTCCCCAGCAGAGAGCAGCCTTGATCTAGGCAATCAAGGAACACTGATCACATTCATGAAAGCCACAGAACAGTCACTCTGAAAACACAGACAAGAGATAAGCAGCAAAATTCATTGCCAAGATCCTTTTGTGGATCATAGTGTAAAGACTGGGTTGTGGTTGTAGACGATGTGACTCCCTCAAACCTTTTTTATGATGTCACGTTATTCATCTAACATGGAAAAACATTTTACTCCCAAACTCCCAAAATCTTCAGACAACAGAATTAACAGATTACAATGTAAACATTTCAAATGACTAAGGATGGAATGGGAATGTAGACATGAAAAAGACCAGGTGGATTTGGAAGAGAGGAAATTAAAGATGGAAAAAATAATCACTATTAAAATAAAAACCATACTGAAAAAGTAGTAAGCCAGACATAGCAAAAGGCGGTGATAAGGAAGATGGTTCTGAGGAAATTAGCTGGGAAGAGAAGGTAAAGTTGAGGCATGGATCAAGGCTAGAAGAAAAGTCTAGAATGGAAGTTCTAGAAGGAAGGATTAAAGGGACGGGAGAGTCAGTGTTTGAAGCAACAAAGAGATGATAGCTTGATACATTTTTATGAAAACAACTCTTGGCCCCAAAGAGACTGAACTTTTGGCAGACCTCACAGCAACGTTAATAATACCCTTGAGATTGTTTAAGGCTGTACTCAACCTGCTATCCAGCTGTGCACTCAGCTTGTTTAAGTTTTCGTCCCTTAATGCAACATAGGAAAGAACTCTCTGAGGTTATCTTTAATGCATTAACCCAATGCGTAGATGAAAAAATACACCTCTCTCCCAACTGCTGCAGTCAACAGATACTCAGTGCAGAGACCTGCTCCACCCCAGCCCCCGAACCCCCCAACACACACACACTGAGAAAGCAGACATTTACCCGAAGCACCAGCCTCATGGAGATGAGGCTGTCCAGGCCCGAGTGATCCAGCTGGAAGCGCTGCTCGAGGGTGAGGTCAGCACAGGGCAGGATCTGGCACAGAGGAAACTCCAGCACTCCCAGAGCACACTCCAGGTCATCATCCAGCACCTGGGCAGTCACAAAACCAGGGCAGAGCTAAGCCCACTGTGCCACCACTGCCCGCTGGTCCCAGGGAGCTTCAGTGAGTATGCACTATGGGGCAATTAGCCTCTGGTGCTATTCGGCAGACGGGAATGGCAACAGGCCAGACCTTGTACCTGCCTGGAGTCTAGGGAAGGGAGTGACGCAGAGTAGAGGTGATCATGGTCTGCATGAGGCCAGTCTGGCATGCACCCAGGGCCAGCTGGGCTTTGTGTTGCTGTATGGTAGGGCGTTTAAGCTCAAAAAAGATCCCACCCAGCTCGACCACGTGTAGGTCATGTGCTCTGGGGCGGATGGTGGCTTTAGCCTGTCTGCTCATGTAAAAAGGAGGTCATTCTTCTGCAGAGCTTCTGTAAGGGTTCAACTCTAGCACAGGACCCTCATCCTATGTAACTGTACAGATCACTGCGAGGAGAACTAAGGGAAGTCATGGTTTGTCTTCCACAGTCTCCTTTGTGACGACCTTGGGCACCAGGCTCAAGGGGCTGAGGGGTCGTGGGGCCTCATACCCTCCCACACACTAGGGTGACTACTGGTGGAACTGCCCAAGATACACAGGACACTCTCTCCTGCCCTCGGCCTAGACAGTTCCCAAGTGTCCCCAGAGCCCAGCTTCATGCAAACCTTGAGGCAGAGCTGCTCGGCTTCCATGCTGTGCACAAAGAAGGAGAACACCTGGTTCCATACAGGGTCCTTGCTATGGGGACAGGTCTGAGGACAGCAAAGGAGAGATCGTTTGAGGGCCGGGCTGGGCATACTCTGCTCAGTGTGATCACCAGCTGCCACAAGGAGCCAGGGGACAGTTTGTGCGACATAAAAGGCATGGCTTCAGACCCTGCCCCAAGGTAAACCCTAACTCTGCTGCCCCATCCTTGGTGGCGTCACTTAGCTCTGCAGTTTTTAGTTTTTGAATGGTAAGGCCACCTAGGGAGGGGATTCCGAAGGCTTACTAGGCATTCAGTGTGGGAGAGTCCTTTCACTCCGCCTCTTCTTAAAAAGGGGGTGGGAGCACCATTTCCTTATCTCAGGCCTACAAATGAACTGCCTTACCTTACTTGTAAAGGTCTTCTTGCCTACAGATAGCTTGACATATGAAGAAGGGTCTCTGCTGGCCTTATTCTGTAAGGGGGAAACCCACAACGTTGAAAGTAACGTTTTCAGGGGGGCCAAGACATCCCACCTTTCCCCATGCTCCCCCTTTCCCCAGGCATGTCAGTGGGTTGTAGGGCAGCCAGTGGCTCCTGTTGGGGAAAAATCTGCCTGGTGTCCAAGGCTGAACTATGGCATGAGCACTGTGCAGGATTACCCCTGGGGAGGAACCCCGAGCTGCTGACCAAAGACCAGAAGTAGAACAAACATGTCCAGTTCCACCTCCCACTATGCCCAGGCCCTCCACCTTCTGGGTTCTTTTTTATAAAATGGCAACCACTCTTGCCCAAACAAGGAAACTTGGAATCCATCACTACAGGACTCCAGGATAATGAATCACCAAGCCTAGTACCCTGCACAGTCGACCCAGACAGGCCCAGGCCGTAGTCACTTCAGGGAAAAGGAGTCAGGGTCTCAGCTGTATTCACTTACCTTGGCAAACCTGGAGAGTTTTTTGGCTCGGTATTCACCATTCAGGTAGTCAAAGGGGTTTCTCTGCAGCACAAGAATGGGGTTTAAGTAACACGTGGGCATTTGGCTGGGGTGAGCGTAAGGCAGACGGGCACCATGACTCACCGGCAGGTTGCAGGCATTCTCTAAGTAGACCACAAGGATGGCAGTGGAGTTGCCGCCATGGTCCTGAAAACAGACACCACCCTCACTGAATACTCCCCGAGTCGGGAGGCAGGCAGGCAGGTTTTGGAAAAGTCTACCCTGGGCAGAAGGAAGCCAGCCAGCCCTCAAGCTAACAACCCAGTTCTACATTGCCTGAGAACACAGCTGCGGCAGGCTAGGTTAAAGTTAGACACAGGGGTTGATGTCCCAATGAAATTGGGTTGCAGGCCCTGACACAGAGCTCTAAGAACTCCATCTTTCCTGAAAATGAAGTCCAGAGGCTGTTTACTGAGAGGAGCTGCCCTGGTGGAGAGAAGAGCCCGACTGACGTGTTCTCTAGGAGATGAGCAACAAATGGAGGCTCCCTCCCCCTACACACAGTAGGTAGAAGTGGGGTGTCTCCTCTCCTATCTCTAATTGAACCATCAGGCAGAAATGGCCTCTTCCTTCTCCTCCTCTGGCTGCACATAGTAGGTAGAAGCGAGTCTCCTCCCCCTGAGAACCCTTTGTGCGAGGGGGCCACTGCCACGCACTCACCTCCATCATCGCTTCCTGGTCCGTGAGCAGTGAGAGCCACTCCAAGCGCAGGTGCAGCTTCCCGCTGGTTGTGTCGTTCAGGACAAACCACTGTAGGGCAGGAGAAGGACAGGAAAGCTCAAGGACGGACATTGCCACCGAGAGTTCGGGACTGCTTAGTGTTGAGACTAGGGAGAAAGGTTAACCAACCCCACGAGGGCACAGCGGACTCAGCGGGACCGGCAGATGTGGGGTAGAAGTCGTACACTTGGGGAAAGGAAAACCCAGGTCCAGACCACCTTCCTCTATAATGTGACTTCCCTTGCTGAGTTCCCTCAGTCTATGGACATTCCCCAGGGAAGCATCTTCTAACTCCAACCCTAGGGGGCTCCCTGCAGCCATCTGGGCCTCACCCAACTCTTGCCCTTAAGAATGAGTATGGGCACAGCCCTGCACAGAGGGGACATATCACACAGGGCTGAAGTGACCTGCTAGAGCCATGCACTGAAAGGGATGTCCCTGGAACCCCCCCCCCAGGGGGTACTGCTGGGAGGTGGGGTGGGGGGAAGCCACCTCTACCTCATCCACCACTCTGTTGGTCATGACATCTCCAAGGCAGATCTGCAGGCTGGAAGACAGGGAGAGGGTGAGCACAGCAGTGGCCAGAGCAGGCTCTGGGGTCCACACTGGACTCTGTCCTCAAATGACTGGATGTGGCCACCGGGACAGAGGTCTCATCCATCCCAGGCAAACAGTGGGGGATGAGCTCAAGAGAAGGGCTGGGCTAGCTAACCTTATGCTCCACTGGACTTCCACTGTGGGGGGGGGGAGGGGAAGCGGCTCCCAGCCCCAGAGGGGACAAGCAGAGGTCTGCATTCATCACCTCTGGGGTTTTTCAACAATACAGCTGTTGGCATGTGGAGCGGGGTGATTCTCCATTGTGCAAAACTGCCCATGCATTACGGAATTTGACTTCCTACCTGAACCTGTGCCATCCGAATGCCTGAGGCATGTTTACAGCCAGATGCCTCTCTGGCTTGAAAACTGGCAGCAGTGCCCTGTAAGTGGCACTAACTGATGCTCTATGTGTGAGGAAGCCAGGAACTCCCATATCACAATGTTCCCCTAGCCTATCTGAGCCAAACCCACCCTGCAGGTCCTGCCAGCCAGAGGGAGGAGGCAGTTCCCGCGTGACTCAGAAGTGTGCATGCATTCAGCGTGGACCCGAACTCAGCCCTGGAAGGCAAGCGTCACAAGCCTCACTTTCCACCTGCAACACTACGAAAACTGTAGTCCCACCACGAAGAAACTAGACATGATCAGCACCCGGTGGTGAGCTGGTCTTCATTTACTTGGTCATGTTTAAACTTGTTATAACTCCGCACTCAGGGTCACACACTGCCCGCTACAGGGGCATAGGAGGCGAGTTGTTTCTTCTCCCGCCTCCCGCTCTGAGGAACGAGCAGCTGTGCCACCCCCTCATGCTCCTCTACAGACACGGGCAAACATGCATCCTGGGCCCTCTTGTGGGAGGCCGGATCCAACTGCAACGTGTCCTTTTCTACTCAATAGCATACCGTGATGACCCCAGTCACTACACCAGGTCTACACCGAATTGTTTGTACAGAAAGGCAAATGTATTCAAGCATTCAGCTAGTGTCTTCCATGGGAGGGCATTATGTGGCCAGGGAGACTTTGGTAGTAAGTGTTTTAAGGGCTAGTGCTTTTATAGGTGGTTCCTCAGGGTGGAGCCTGTCTAGAATAAAAGAGAGTGAGATTCTGCCAAGCAGCCCCCCAGGGGTCACTTCCATGGCCTTGAGTTCTGGGTATCGGCACATGGGGAGTGATGAAGGCTCCTTGAAGTAGAGCGCCATCATCATGCCACCTGCACACTGGTCCAAATGGGACTCTCAGAGTGGACATGAGCCCTGGGGGTCCTCTCTGTACTACCGTTCTCCTCCAGGGCCTCGGCCAGGGCTGGAGACACCTGGGGAGTTTGTGCAATGCTGGAGCAGATTGCCGGGTGCAGTCACTCTTGTCACAGTAGCCATCGAGTTAGAGGTCACCAAGCAGTGAGGCCTGCACCTTCTAAATGCCCCCCAGGGTCCAGCCTTGTACCCCAAGCAGTGAAGAAGCTCCGAAGCCCAGATCCCCACTCCTCACCTGCCCAGGAAGTCATCCTTGTCAGTGTCCTCATCATACAGGTCCACCTCCAGGTCCTGGCCAGGCACTTCGTACACCATGAACTACAAGGACGGAGAAGCACCTTGTCCTGCAGGACTTGACTGCTGAACCAGACCTTACAACCCACAGACAGCCCAAGCCCAGCCTAGGACCCTGGCCTTGCGGGTGCCTCAGGGCCCTGCCTATCAGGAAGCAATGCCCCTCCCCTGCAGGCGAGCAGAGAGAGCCAGATACAGCACAAGTATGCTCCAGCATGGTGCCCAGAGGACACTGGCTGCCATCTGCTCTGTCTTGTGCTGTCACATTGTCCTCCCCTGGGAGATGCGGGACATCAGGAAACTAAGCTTCCCTTTCTCATCCTGCTTCCACTGCCTGGGACCAGATGTAACGGAGCATGTAGATGGTGTTATAAGGGAGGGGCAACTAGGAGGTGGCTCTGAAACATGTGGCTGACAGGCTGTGGGTTCCACCCATCCAGCAACAGGGGAGGCTGGGAGCTGTGGGCAGAACTGCCTGTACCCTGTTCTGGTGGGGGAAGGGCACTGACAATGGGGTCAGAATAGCCCACCTGTGAGCTTGCTAGACAGGGAAGCAAGAGTCACAAAGACCCACCTGCCCATTAGCAAGTCTCTCGCCCTACCCATGGTTTCCGTATTGGGCCCTGAGAGCCACTGTGCTCCTCACAGCCCAGGGTGAAAAGCTCACCTCAAACACTTCATTCCAGGTGGGGTTCAGGTTCTTGTAGATGGTCCTGCTCTGGCAGTGCTGCAGGCCGATGCTCACCTTGGCGTACGGGTCTGACTTGCCTCCCAGCCCCAGGAAGTTGTCCTTTTGGGCCAGCTTCTCCGCCTCCAGCAGATGGACTCTGATCACCCCCTGAGAAACACCCAAGCCCCAGGTCACAGCTGCCTCCTTGACATGCCAGCCTCAAGTCTAGGATCCCAGGGCCAAAGCCACCAGAGGTCACTGCTGCCCCTTCCAGTCTAGACAGAGACGGTAGTCAGAGACAACAGTGACCTAGCCGAGGCCACACAGCAGCTGGTGGCAGGGTTCGCTGCTCTGCCCAAGGCTCTGGCCGTCCCACACCATCTTCTCCAGACTTGACATGAACGGCTGATTTGGCTGAGGGTATTTCTGTTCCTCCTCCTTTCAGCACTGCTGTGAAAGTCGTGCATAAACTGACTGCCAGGGATCCTGCGGGCAGCACACTGTGGCCCTGTCTGCACTGCCGGTAGTTCCTGTGTGTATGAATGCCTCAGCCATCACCCACCACAGGGCAGGCCCTTCCCCCACACCCCCACCATTGAAAAGAAATGGAAAACAATTGGGAAAGTCGGTTCATGAGTCTTAGGGTATGCCTCTTTCCTAGAACAATACCTTTTAGAATATCAGTTACTACGTACACATTTTCTTTGATCTACAAAACAACTTTGGGGAGTCTATCCGTGGGCACACGGGGAAAAACATAAAAAGATCTGTGCACAGGCTGCTCCTTGCACTATTGTTTGTAGCAGCAAAGTCCAGACACAGCCTCACTGTCCATCAACGGGGCTGGTGGGGCAGTGACAGGGACCTCCCACACTGAAGCACGGTGCAGCCATCAGCAGGAATCTGGAAGGCTCTAGCTGTACTGTGGCAGCAGGATTCTGTGATATATTTAGACATAAAAGCAAGGAAGGGAAATAATACACTAACATCAAAGAAATGGGAGCCACAATAACTACCACTCAAGGCCTTTTTTACTGTAGAAGCTTCTTAAGACAGACAGACAGACAGACAGACACACACACACACACACACACACACACACACGTACACACAAATTAAATGGAGTTACCTTATAACAGTACAGTGACAATGTCCCTACCATACTTCACAGGCCAAAATCCAGGTGCCAGGAATGGGTTACCTCTATTGGAATTGCTGGCCTCACAGACTCCCAAATATTACAGGCTATTGCCAGTTCTCTTGGTTACCCTCTAGAACTTGATAAGACCCTTGAGGTGATTTGAAAGAAAATAGCCTCCAAAGGGCATGGCACTGTTAGGAGGTGTGTTCTTGTTGGAGGAAGTGTGTCACTGTGGGGGCGGGCTTTTGAGGTCCCTTTTGGTCAAGCTTCCTGCAGTGTGATTTTCAGTTGACTTCCTGTGGCCTACATATCAAAATGTAGCCAGCACCATGTCTGCCTGCACACAGTCATGCTCCCCACCATGATGATAATGGACTGAACCTCTGAAACTGTGAGTCACCCCAATTAAATATTTTTTCTTTCCAAGAGTTGCTACAGTCATGGTGTTTCTTCACAGCAATAAAAACCTGAACTAAGACAGAAGTTAGTACTAGGGACTGGAATATTGATGTGAGAGGCCTGACCATTGTTTGGAGGAATTTGTACTTTGGTACTTTGAGTTTGGAAAGCACTGTTTAATGGGACATATAGTAGGAGCATGGAAGACAGTGGTATGAAGAGTTATTTGAACTATGGGGGGCAAACTCAAGAGGTTTCAGAGAAGAATTTTAGTATGTTGCCTAGAGATCATCTTTGGTGAAGAAAATGGCTGCCTTTTCCCTTGTCCAAAGAGTCTGCCTGAGGCTAAAGTGAAGAGTTTTGAATTAATTCCACTGGCAGAAGAAATCTCAAAACAACCTAGTATAGACTCTGTCATGTGGATATTAGTGGTAACTCTAATGAAGGTTTATAATGAAGAGGAGTAAGCCAAGCAGGATAAATTACAAAAAGTAAATTTTGAGGAGAAAGAGCACCAGGAAGTGGAATGGAGCTGAGTCCTGTGTCCAAGGAGATAAAAGGATTAAGGAATGAAATAAAGGGAGTGGTGACCTCAGGGCAAGATCCACCCAGCTAAGTTTCCAACTTGTGGAAAGAAATTAAAGAAAAGCTTAGAGCCTGGTGTGGTGGGGTACAACTTTAATTTTAGCACTGGGAAGGCAGAGGATGTCAGATCACTGAGTCTGTGATAAGATAAAAAGGGAGATTATGGAATCTACTTTTAAAAAGGGACTACTTGTTTTAAATAGGATAAGTAATGAAATTTTTTTGAGTTTATCAAATGTTACTGGACTGGACATTGTTACATATTAATGGAGTTTTTTTTTTTGTCTGAATCTGTCAAATGTTAATGGACTAGACATCGTTAATGTAATCTTGACTGTGTATATTGTATATACTTATTGGATATAGTTTTTCTTGTAATAGTTATAAGCTTTTTTTAATTTTAGACAAAAAGAGAGGAAATGTGGTGGTATTGTGTTCCCCAAAATACTGTGTACCCTAATAAACTTATCTGGGGTCAGAGAATAGAAAAGTCACTAGATACTTAGGGTAGGCAGTGGTAGCACATGCCTTTGATCCTAGCATTCAAGAGGCAGAAATCCATGTGTTCAAGGATACAGCCAAGCATGGTTACTCGTGCCTTTAATCCCAGAAAGTGAGCCTTTAATCCCAGGGAGTGAGGCAGAAAGCAGAAAGATATATAAGGCATGAAGACCAGAAACTAGAAGCATTTGGCTGGTTAAGCTTTTAGGTTTTGAGCAGCACAGTTCAGCTGAAAGCCATTTGGATATGAGGACACAGAGGCTTCCAGTCTGAGGAAACAAGATCAGCTGAGAAGTTGGCCAGGTGAGGTTAGCTGTGGTTTGTTCTGCTTCTCTGATTTTCCAGCATTCACCCCAGTAACTGGCCTCAGGTTTGATCTTATTAATAAGACCATTTAAGATTCCTGCTACAAGTCTGAGGCCAGCCTGGTCTACAGAGCAAGTTTCAGAACAGTAAAAGAAAGAAATCTGGTGAAGATGTAATTGGAACAAGGGAGACATGTTCCAGCCCTAGCAAGCGGCAGAACTTGGCAGCTTCGGCCATGTGGTTCTGGCTTTAGAGTTAAGAATAGAAGAAATCATGGAATAAGGCCACTGAGGCCAGGAATGTGTCAGGGGTGTCCCTGAATGGAGGCCTAGTAGAGAGGACATTGTTTGAAGCTGTGAAACTGAAGCCTGGACTGCCTTGGAGCACCCAAGATGTTAGAGACATGGGCTACCTGCCGAGGAAAGCTGCTAACAGGGAGTGGAACCAGCCCAAGAGAAAGAAATGTGTTGCAGTCAACCCTGAACAGAGTTGGAGATCTGAAGAGTGTTTTGACATCAGATATGGAGATGTAGAGTTTGGAGTTTGCCCAGCTGGTTTTTGATCTTGCTTTGGTCCAGTATCCCCTTGCTATGCTCCCTGAGTTTTGGGACGGTAATGTATATCCTGTGCCATTATATGCTGGAAGTATGTGATCTGCCTTTTGATTTTACACCCCCCCCCCGGGGGGGGG